AAGAGGGTCAAAATATGCTATATGTATATGTTTGAAGACAACAAACAATATAATATATATAATTTATATATGTGAAATATACATATTTCATACAAGCAACTTAACACTCAGAAATGCCAGGATGTGATTTCTTTGACTTAGAGAAAAGTAAGTTAACACAGTTGATGAGAAGTTTTGAATAACCTGATATAAATACTCCGTCGAAATGCCTTTTCTTGGCAGAAAGCTCATTTTCTGATGCTCAGGATTAACTGGCAATATCAGCGATCTCTCAAGGCTAAACAATCCTCTGCCTGTCTTTTACTAATAATTAATTGGAAAGAAGTGAGAGTGCCAGAAATATTTTCATTACGAAGGCCAGTATTTATAGTTGTTTAATTACTTAAGCTTATAAAACAACTTTGTTGAAAATTTACTGCTTTTTAAGTCATAAGATAGTCTGCAGGAATTTGCTTATTTATGTTATCAAATTATATCAATTGCTTGCGTTGTGACAATTAAACTAGCACACTATAAATAAATTTACTATACTTGTGCTAATTTACAACTATGTATTGTATATTATGTGGGTTCATTTGTTAGAGAATATTTTTGCTGACTTTCCTCATTATAGAAAATAAATTTATCTCTAACAGACCTGAACCAAACACAACACAAAGCCTTGTATTAGTACATTAATGTAAACAAACAAACTGTATTTAAAGAGAGGAATTATACTTTACAGTTTATTATCTCTTGGTTTATTCAAACCTTTCAAACTTTATGAGAACTTATCTTCAAACTATAAACTATTTTTGACCTAATAAGCCTTTTAATAATGAAAAATGTTAGGGTCAAATTTAGATTGAAGTTAATAGAACTAAAAATTGAATACCAAATATAAGAAAGAAGAAAGCGAAAGCTCCTGCGATCATAAATATAACTCACACCACACTAAATATCACGAGCTATGCTCCCCTCCCTTCTCCTTTGTATATTAGGGTTCATTTGTCAATAGAAACATATTTCTATTTGTGCAGGATAAGAATTATTCTGATTCTTGCTAACATGATTACGGCTAACAGATTACAATTAATTTAACTCCTAAAAATGCTCACAGATTATTGAAAAAAATGAAAATCATAAAATAAGCTTACGGTTTCACCAATTTTTCCAATATCTCCTTGATCTCCTACTTCTCCCTGTTGATAAGGAATATAAAATTGCAAAAATGACTATTTTCAACAAGATTACTCTTCTGTTTACATTTTATGCAATTATCTAGCCATAACCTGGAAAAAGGCAAAGAGAATTTCAGTTATTCAAAACACTGTTATAGTATTTCTATAGGTTGTGGGCTTTTCTCCATTCTCATTCAAATAGTAATAACCTAAACTATTGTCTTAACTCATTCGTTACTTTTAATAGCGTTGAAAACACTTTTAAAGTCAGGCATGGTGGTGCACACTTGTAATAGCAGCACTTGGGAGACTGAGGTGGGAGGATTATGAGTTTGATGCCACCTAATTTGCATAGGAAGTTCCAGGCCAGTCTGACTTACATAGCAAGATGCAGAGATACCGAAGGTAAGAGGCAACTTGTTTTTCAGAGAGAGAGAGGAGACTAAGAATATGAATGGAACAGAGATCCTAGGGTTCTGTGAAAGGTGGTGACCTTTAACCAACTCCCTTCCCTAGCAACTGCCAGGCCCCAGGAATAGCTACATGAGGCATGGATTTCAGTGACAGCTAGGGAGGAATGAATACTGACGATTTCCCTCCATTTCTTGAGTAACACTTAAGTGACTTAGATTCTGGTGTGATTCCAGAGAGAGGGGAGGTTATCAATAATGATTGAGATATAGTTTCTTGCTAGTTTGACTGGCTTGCAGTTGGGTTTCTCAGTTTGCAGTTGGGTTTGCAGTACAAGGATTAATTACAGTAAAGGAGAATTGATTAAGCCTTCTTTTCATAAATATTGTTCATCTATTCTCTTGAAGTTTTCAAATATAACTTGAGAAAGTTAGGTACAGTGTTTTCCAGTATGATTTCATCCACAGATAGACATACTGCTACATTAAATGATGCTTTACAATCTACATGTTCAATGTAATCCCTATCAAAATTCCAATGATATTCATCATTGTGATTGAAAAATCAACCCTAAAGTTCATATGGAAGCACAAAAGATGGCAAATAGCCAAGGCAATACTCAGCAAAAAGAGCAAGGCTGGAAGTATCACAATACCCAACTCCAAACTATACTACAAAGCAATAGCAATTAAAACAGCATGGTACTGGCACAAAAACAGATATGAAGACCAGTGGAAGCAAATGGAAGACCCAGATATGAATCCACACAGCTATGCCCACCTGATTTTTCACAAAGAGGCCAAAAATATACGATGGAGAAAAAACAGCCTCTTCAAAAACATTTCTGGGAAAACTGGTTATCTGCATACAGAAAACTGAAACCAGATCCATGTCTTTCACCCTGTACAAGTATCAACTTAAAGTGGATTAATGACCTTAATATAAGACCTGAAACTTTGAAGCTGGTGCAGAAAAGAGTAGGGAACACATTGTAATTAATAGGCATATGCAAGGACTTCCTCTGTAGAACTCAAGTGGCTCTGCAACTAAGAGAAAGGATTGACAAATGGGACTAGAAAGCTTCTGCACAACAAAAGAAGTGGATTCTAAATTGAAGAGGATGTCCACAGAATGGGGGGAAATCTTTGTCATCTATTCATATGACAAAGGATTAATAACCAGAATATGCAGGGAGCTCAAAAAACTAAACTTCCCCAAAATCAATGACTCAATGAAGAGACGGGCAAATGAACTGAACAGAGCTTTTTCAAAGAAGGAAGTCTAAATGGCCAAAAGACACATGAAGAAATGCTTAACATCCCTGGCCATAAAGGAAATGCAAATCAAAACCACGTTAAGATTTTACCTCACTCTTGTTAGAATAGCTACCATCAAGAACACAAACAACAAATGTTGGCAAGGAGTGGGGAAAAATGAACCCTCATACACTGTTGGTGGAAATGTAAGTTAGCACAACTACTATGGAAACAGTATGAAAGCTCTTCAAAGCACTAAAAATAGAACTATCACATGATCCAGTAATACCATTCCTAGGGATATAGCCGAAGGAATGCAAGTAAGGTTACAATAACGACACCCATGTTTATTGCAGCACTATTCACAATAGTCAAGCTATGGAAACAGCCAAGATGCCCCACAACTGATGAATGGATTAAGAATATGTGGTATTTCCATACAGTGGAATTTTATTTGGCCATAAAGAATGAAATTTTGTCACTTGCAGGCAAAAGGATGGAACTGGAGAACATTATCTTAACTGAAGTTAGGTTCAGAAACCAAAGGCTGCATATTTTCTCTCATATATGGAATATAGGTCTAATATAAATACAAGCAATATTGTATATGCATACAAATATATACAGAACATGTACCCAGATTGGGACTGGTATGTACAAGAGACCAAGGGAGGCGGAAAAGAAGGAAAGAAAGATAGTGAATAATAATGAATTACATCACATCTGAATAGGCAAAACACAGCAAACACACTGAAAACTGTTAAACAACACAGGATGGGGGGAGGGAAGGAAGTGCAGTGGAGGGGGTTGACTTAAGCACAATGCATGCACAGGTAAAAATCTCACTGAACAACATACGGACACCTGAACAATGAAGAACAAGAATGACAAACAGGTCACACTAAGAGGAGGGCACTAACAGGAGGGGAATAGTAAAAGCAGGAAGAAAAGAAGGTGAATGTGGTGAAAGTATATCCTATCCAAGAAAGAATACAGAATATTTAAACTTGTTGAAATCACCATAAGAAGGCGACTAAGGTAGAAAGGAGAAAGATAGAGTGGGATGAACCAATTCAGGATAAAATACATCTATACATGGAAATGTCATAATGAGATTCCATGTATAGCTATCTTAAACAGAAAATATCTTTTCCTAAAAGTGGAGGACAGGAAGGTAAAATATTCCCTGCCTAGGGGTTGGTAACAGTGGCAAGGGGAAAGATGTAAGAAAAGAGTATAGGAGGGTGGATATGGTGGCGATATAATATACTCATGTACTAAAATGGAAAAATGAGAATGGGGGAGGAGGAATAAAAGAGAATGATAGAGGGGATGAATTTAACTACGATAGATTGTACTTATCACAATGTATCCCCAGTATAACAATAATATAATAAAAATAAATTTTAAAAAAGATGCTGTAATATATTTCTTCATTAATCTCAAAAATTGCTGTTTTATTTTTCCTCAGATTTTAGCATCATAAAAATTATGAGTTTAACATAAAAAACCTTGAGCTTTGAGAAAGTTAGTAATAATGTACTGATTCTTGAAGTTTATGTATATATTTTTTTGAGACAGGATCTCACTATGTATCTCAGCCTGGCCTTGAACTTGTGATCCTCCCTCCTCAGCCTCCTGAGAGCTGGGTTTACATGCACCCACAAATACATCCAAATTAAAAATTTAGCAATTATTTTGAGCTAGTTTCTTTCAGGCCTTGATGCACTACATATTAATATGTTTCATTCTTTTATATTTGTTGTTATAAAAGATCATTCAAAACTTGGAAATAAGGTGAAACTATATGGGCAACATTCTTTTGATGAAACAAAGGTGAAAGCTAGGCAATAATTATCTAAGGAATATACTTAGGTAGATCCATTGGTCATTATTGACTAAAGAATGCAGACTTCATAAAGTGATATTAACTTGTAGATTTCTGTCCAGTAGAACAGATAACCTATAATATTATGTTTTATTGCCCTGTATCTAACCCACAAATATTCTAATATTTCTTTCTTGAATTGCCTATTTATAACTTCTCAAGTGCTCTTTGAACCATTTTTGCCATCTTCTTGGTTCCCTGTAGGCTCATTTCATATTTGAAAGTCAAAATCTTATCTTTCTGAAAATTATATTTCAAAACTAGTAACAAACTCAGGTGTTTTACCTTTAAGCCATCTGGTCCTGGTTCACCAACATACCCCTTTCGGCCTGGTTTTCCCTAGAACAGATCAGAAAAATGTTTTTGTTTTCAAAAAAGAGATCATTTTAGTTGTTTACATTTCTGAAAATTTGCTTGGGTTTATGAGAGACCATTTTTATGAAATGAAAAACTTCAGAATTATTTGATGAATGCATTTTATCATATACATTAGCCATTTATGCCATAAATACTTGAATGTCTCCTGTGTGTCAGCATACAGGTGTAGGTTGTGATGATGGAGAGAGAGCACTGAATGTATGTGCTCTCACAAAGCTCACAGTTAAGTGAGGATGACAAAATTTAAAAAGTATGACATACATGCATATGTGTGTGTGCATGTATGCACGTATATATGTAATATGTTAGGTGGTGGTGAGCACAAAAGTCAAGGAGCTAAACTACTGTGAGTTTTGTTAAAATTTTTGTTATGATTTCTAGGGAAGAAAACGTCACTGAAAAGGTGGCACCTGAGGAATGACAGGCACAAGCTGTGTGGACATCTGAAAGAAGAAGAAGATTCTGTGCAAAGGTACTCTGGCAGGCAGGAAGCTTATGAAGAATTAGAACAACAAGGAGGAGTCAGTGCAGCTGGAGAGGTGTTAGGGAACATGAGTAAGAAGATGAAATCAAAGAAGGTAGTGGGGAAATGAGGACCAGGGTAAGATAAGGCCTTGTAAGTTACTGTGAGTTATTTGGCTTTTACTCAGAGGGAGATAGGAAGCCCTACATGAGGTCTGAGGAGAAAAGTGATGTGATCTGTTTCATCAGGATCACTTTGATGAAGGAGCAGAAGCATAGATTCCAAATAGGACTCTACTGCAATGATCCAAGTAAAAGATAAATTAAGGTGGCAGCAGGAGAGGCTGTAAGAAACATAAGATTTTGGATTTAGTTTGAAGAAGCAGGAACCGCTTGCATGGAATGTGGGAGAATGAGAAGAATCAAAAATGAACTCAAGATTTTTAATCTGAGTAACAGAACAAAGGTTTTTTTAATCTGTGTACCTGAAATGAGGAAAACCGTGAGAAGAACAGGTTTGAAGGTTAAATTAGAAGCAGAGTTTGAGACATTTCAGTTAGATATATCCACTAGACAGCTTAGTAGAGAGATCTTACTTACAGTAGTGATACAAGTTTGGAGCTCAGGAAAGAGGTTTCTGATCTAAATATAATTTTGGAAACCATCAATGTCTTGATAGTACTTAAAGTCATAAGACTGAATGAACTTGTCTAGGAAGTGAGCATGAATAAAAAAGAGAAAAAGGCCATACACCAAGCCTTGGGCCATTCTAAAGTTTAGAATCTGGAGAAATGTGGAAAATAGAAATTTAATGCCAGAGTTAGGAGGAAATTCATGTAAGTGAAGAAATTGTTTCCAGAATGACAGAGTGATCTTGTTACGCATTATGAGGGTTGGGAAATGATCATTGGATTAACAACAGAGAGTCTGCTAATGCCCTTTCTAATATCATTTTGTTGGAGTGATGGGGACAAAAGTGGTTTACACAGATGGATGGAAGAGAAAATTTGGAAAGAGCATATAAAGGAAATATTTTGAAGAGTTTTTCTGAAAAGGGAAGGAGAGAAATGAAATAACACTTGAAAGGGAAACTGGAATCGATGTAAGTTTTGCTTTTGTTTTTAAGGTGAAACAAATAGCATCAGGTCTGTACACTGATAGGACTGATATAGCAGAGGGAAAGAGTTAAGAAGCAGGAGACAGGGGAAAGAAATGCTGGATCAGTGTCCTTGCATAAACAAGAGGATAAGGTATGTAGTGAACAAGTGAAATTCTGACCTTAGAAAAACGGCCTGCTCCTTCACAAAGCAGGATAGAAGGCAGAGTAAGTGAGCATTAGTAAAGGGAGGTATGTAAATGCAATGACAGGAAATCGTGGAAGTTCTCTTCTGATCATTTTAATCTCAGGGAAAAAGGAAGCAAAGTAAAGGATAAGAATGAAGATGAGAGAGGTGATCAGAATTTTAGAGAGAGAAAGAGTTGTGAAACAATAATTTAGGAAAGTAAAAAAGAACAAATGAGCAGGAAACAGAATCCAGAATGTAATCAAAAGGATAATTATAGTTTTAAGCAGTAGGAGAGATGTGGGGTTCTGAGGGAGGTAAGGAACAATAGAAAAGCAGTAAAATCAATGCATTGAAATTGCTGTGGGGGGGTCACCAGATTGGGTATAAGAAAGAATATATTAAAAAGAAAGGAAGGAGAGAAAGAAAGAAGATGGTGGTTGGGGACCAAGGATATAAGGAGGGGCCTGATAATGCCAAGGTAAAGGGTAGGGTCACAGCACTGTGTAGCTGAAAAGTGTAGAAAGCATGATCCCCTGGTGGGGCAGGGGAAGAAAGCCATTATCCTGGATACTGGGTGGCTTAACTGTGGTTTCTAATATCAAGCAACTTTCCCTGTTTATGTAAGATTTCATTAGGGAGCTCATGGTGCCTCAATCAAAGTGTGGTAAGTTTAAACTTATGAGGAAAAATGACGAGGAAAGAGCGCTAAATGGAACACCAATTTATAATACATAGCAGGCAGTATATATTTGGATTTTATTATTACAGCTCATTTTAAAATACTCTCGTAAGTGCAGGACTTCAAGCTAAAACATTTTTCTAATTTTTGCCAAGAACAGGACAGAGCAAAAGAACTGAAAGCATCATATTACTATTAGGTATCAATTGCTCTCTAGTTAACTTGAAGATACAAGATAAGAAATTTAGTTAAGAGTTCAAATGATTAGATTTCTCTATGATTTTTACAACAAAATCAGTAATCCATTTTTATTTTACATTTCCTGGAAAGAGCCTTAGTGAAAATATTTCTGTCATCTTTAATAAAAACAGTTTTGATTCAAGCACTGCAGAAAACTAAGGAATCAGACATTATATCTATACTACGGAAAAATATCACTGAAATCTGGTATTAAAACACTTATAATCTCTTTGAAATCATGCCATTCATAGCTTCAGTAACAGAGTTATAATTTATTGTTCTATTTAAATTCCGTCCCACTAGATTTATTTTGAGAGTGGTATACTTGAGTATGTAATATTGAAGGCTTATTTTTATATCATATCTTGCAGAGTTGTTTCCAAGAATGTAATTGATTCATGTGATGCACAAAGAGGAATATTAGGCCCCAAATTGATCTTAAACTGTTAAGGAAATAATCATAGATATTAAGACCGAGTAGAAAAGAGATGAATATGGTTCTCTTGTTTTATAATGAGGTAAATTTAAAATGACATCAATTTTGCTGGTCTCAAATAACAGTTTTTCTGTTATACATTTTTCCTTATAAAAAATAAAATATGAAGTCTTCATTTCAATGATATGATAGCAATATGTATGCTAGTGAGATAAAGTTATAAAAGAAATAATTATTATCTCTATAAAATTTTACAAACCTGTAATTATTATGTTCATGGGAGTCTAATGACTCTTAAAACAAAGATAACATATCCATCTTCACTATGTAATGGTAATGCAAACTTTGGTCATACCAAAGTGTTTAAATTCATTTTCAGAACTTCAAAATAACCATTAATGTGGTAACATATGGTGAAAAAGTAGGCAGTAAAGGTTTCTTATTAGCTTTCCATAATTTTATTGACACACTTAGAAAACAGAAGCTTCCAGAATATTAGTAAAATAGCTAAAGTATTTTGTTCCTAATTCCTTTTGGGGAAAGCTTCAAATAATTTGTACAAATTACTAAAACCATAAGACCACTGAAAAGCAAGACAATGTATTATTAGGCATAACATAACTCAAAATAGCCCTGGAGAAATCTAGTTATTGACTTATTATATTTTGGTAAATTTTATGAACTATTGTTTAACTTTTGTCCTTTATTATAAATTAAAATATTATGCCATTAAAATATTTACAGACAACTGTCTTCAAGAGAAGCATTTGTAGAGAATTATTTATTCATATTAATTTACTTTTGAGACAGAACTTCACTATGTAACTGAAGCTGGCCTGGAACCTGTTACACAGCTCAGACTTGTGATCCTCCTGCTTCCACCTCCTGAGTGCTGGGATTACAGGTATGCTTTACCACTCCTGGCTATAGAAAATTATTTTTGTGATACCTACTCTTGGCCCCAGTTCTCCAAAGGGTCCAATTGGTCCTTCTTCTCCCTTAAAAAAAAAACCAAACAAACATTAGACCATATCGTGGTCTAAAATGCATGTTTAAAAACATAAACCCTAATTCTTAATATTTATTCTGAAATTTGAAACTTGTTTTGAGATATGGTAACAATAATGCTATAATTTTCTTGTATTGTAGAGTTGTGCCATCCCACAAAATTTTTTTTTTTCAGTGATGATCCATATCTACCTTAAGAGGGACATGTGCTATTGGGTTACTCTTGGGTAGATGGTACAAGCCATATACGGAAAACTGGGAGTGTAGAAGACTGAAAGTAGATAGGATATCACAAAACCAGGATTAGGAATCATTGAGAACATTAATTAAGGATAATCATTTCCTTGTTTGGTTCATAGAGAGGAACTCAACTAAGTTCTTAACAGATGGAAATCTGTACACATTGGTATATTTAAAAATTACTTATATAAAAGATGTTTCTCTAGGTATGTTTTGATTCTTCATTCACTCACCAATTTTTTTCTTTGACACAGGGTCTCACTATGTAGCCCAGGCTGGTCTCTGATTCACAATCCCTCTGCCTCAGCCTCTCCAAGGCTGGGATTACAAAGTGTGCTGCCATACCAAAGTCACAAGTATGGGTTTGAATCTTTGTTCTGTTTTAAGCCCCAGAGATGCAAAGATATCAGATTCTACCCAAATGGGGTTTACTATCCAATACACAGCCCCCATGTTCTTTGGGTCAAATCAGCTGTAATGTCATAAAATATAAAAATCTGGGTATCCTTGTAAGGAAAAAAATCATATGGGTGGACAGAGCCTGAAAATGAACATAATAAAAACAAGCACTTGCTATTATGTTTGAAGAGAATTAAAAAATAAGAGCTTGTACTTCATTTATAGACATGTTTACTAACTATACTAATTTCTTCATCTTTAAATAACGATTTGGTATTGCCAGCTGATGTTACCACATCCTGACAACATATCTAGAACTCCTTAGAATCACATACCTTATTTGTCTGATAAACATTTTACTTGATTAAAATGAAATTCAACTTAAATATAATTCAATTAAAATATAATTTAATGGATCACACACATATAAAATAGTCACAAATCATAAATTAAATTTGAGTACATATGAGTTTGATTCTGGGAACATTCCATTGGAGACCACTGACACAAATCGCTTAATGAATTCAGAACATTATAAAATGATTCCAAATCCCGTTCCTTAACTGCCAGTATAAAGTGGTAACCTGAAATCCTTCATGGCAAGAATTATCCACACTATAACAATATTTTCTCTAAGCAAAAACTAAATTATGATGAAAAATAAAAAGGAGAAAATGTAAATTAGTAAGTTGCTAACTACATATTCACTTCCTCCATACCTGAGCTCCTTTGATGCCAGGAGGTCCAGGAGGCCCTCTATTTCCAAGATGTCCCTATATAAGCAATACAAGCACACAAAATAAAAATTATAGATCTATTACTATCTTCATCAATCAACATTAATCTGGAGATGGGCAATACTATTTGATATCATTCATTTCTCATTAAAAGTTATCAAAATGAGGTAGGAAGGTTTGTGAGCAGAAAACTGTAAGACATCTAAAATTGAGAAACACAGAATAGACTTGCTTTGAAACAGTATATTAAGGCTCAAATAATTTGCTCAGTATGTTATTTTTCAACTTCCAGATATCTTTTGAGACAAGGTTTTTCTAATTTAAAGCAACGGGTCCAGCTGCTAATCTGACAATAATATATAATAGACAAATATGTAATAGAGTGTCCACAAAGTCTGAAAACAGAGGGAGGGAGATAGATAATGTTAGGACTCCAGCAGAATCTGAAACTCACTTTTCACAATAAATGTTCTTCAGCTTCTTGATTTGAACTAGTACAAAGAGAAGGCAATTTGCAGAAGAAAGTGACAGTCTGAATTTGACTATGAATTTTAAGACTATTGCTCTCTAGGTGAGTATTTGTTCAAAACAACCATAAAAACTATATCCTAATTTATACAACACCATACAACACCTATTCAACATAGCAAGAATTTCTTATTCTAGCTATACAATGTGCCAGTAGAGGCTTTTTTGTTTTGTTTTGTCTTTTTGGTGGTACTGCGGTGTGAACTCAGGGCCTCACATATGGTAGGCAGGTGCTCTACTATGCCCCCAGCTCACCTGTAAAGTTTTAAGTAAACCTTTTCTAAGAATCACATTTTGCATTACTGCTTTTAGTGGTTCTACAACAATTAAAAGGTGTTATCTAATCTTTACCGAAGTAAATAACTATGTCATGTCAAAGAGCAAAACTATCCAGGTGACTTTGATTTTTAATTTTGGAATATAGAAGAGTGACAAACTGCATGGGGTCCTTGGCTTTGTGTTATACCTTGCTCTTTCATTGCTGTGCATTAACACAAATAAAAAATGAAAAACCCTTGTTAGTTTAAGTCTGTATTATCACAAGCATATTACAGAAACAGCATCCTTCATAAAACTACATCACTGGAAGTAGTAACCTTTTATTTTCATGCAGCTTTCTTATTTTTAAAAGGAAGAGATGAATTGGATTATGGAAAATGAGTATATGCTGTTTTATGCTGGTCCAACATACATTTATAGTTTTTCAGGCAAAACACTCTAATTTTCCTTAGGAAACAACTTGTTCCACTCAGACCATATAGTACGAGGGGTGTGACTCTAACCCTGGCTATAGTGGTGAATATGTGACAGGCACCTAAGTCAGTCAGCATATTCTGTACCCTTAGGAACATTCATTGGTTTGGAAATGAGCCAGGGACCTCCCACCCCAAGGCCATCTTAAAAAAGCAAATTTCAAACTTTAGAGAAGCTACTCGAAAGGCAGAATAGCATTAAGAATGAGATAAACCTGAACAATAGAAAACCATCAAGGAGAGAGAGCCTGAGGATGAAATCAGTGAATTCACCAATGGAGAAATAGCAGTAACTGGGCTCTCACGATATTGTTTGGAGTCCTGGTCCACTTTTGATTAAGTTCTTATACTTTTCATGTATTTATTCAAGCCTATTTGAGGTGGGTTTACATTACCTACAACCGAAAGAATCCTGACTGGATATAATGATTTCAAACTCTTCAGTATCCAAACTATTGCTCTTCTAAAATTAAAAGTGAAAAATTTTAAGATTTTTCAAAGATTGATTGGATGTACAGATCCAAAAGCTGTGATACTTGAATTCTACCACTTGATAGCTACTTTTTAATCATTTAGTTCATTTGTGTTTTCATTTTTCATCTGGCATTTTATTAATTTTCCTCTAGGAATAAGGCTCACTAAACAGCCCAGTATTAGGCTCTTAAGTGTGTAAACAGAAGTAAGACAAAGCCTTTGTTCACAATGAATTGCTAATTTAGGTAGAAGATGGTCATTTAAAATAAAACTTAATAAATAAGAGTTGTGATGGAAGTAGAAGTATCTACAAGGTATAGGAAATTTAGAAGGAGCAAAATCTTTCCCAGCAGAATCAGAAAAATTTTAATGTGTAAATAATTTTGTTTTGAGTCATGATATACTAACAGATATGCTGACAAAACTTGTAAATAAAAATAAGCATACACCAAGAACTTATAAACACCTTATGGGATACAAAAGACTCTAATAAATGTACTGTATTATTAGATTAGAGAAAGTGTGTAAGAAACTGACTCAGTTCTATACCCAGGATTTGATCAGCAGAAAGTTGAACAGTTAAAGAATATTAGTTCCCCTTAACTCTCTCATTGAAATTATTTACCGTGTGGGTGGCAACATGGACCAAGAACCCAAAATAACTCTTTCAGGGAAGCAGGCAAGCCTAGGCTGCCTTTTCCTTCTTCTTCCAAAACCAAATTATAATCTTAAAAGAATAAAAACTGGATTAAGAAAAAAAAAAAACTAGTTATGTGCTGTTTATAAGAAGTAACACCTAAAGCCTAAAACAATAGGAAGATTGGAAGCCTCAACCCCAAAATGGGAAAGATGGCTATGCAAGTGGTTTTCTAGCCCAAAAGAGCTGAATTATATTCATACTAGGTCTACTGGATTTTAAGGTAAAATAGACTAATTATTAGAATCAAGTCACTAAATAATAAATGGCTATATGACCAGGAAGAGATTAAAAACTCAATTTTATTTATATAGCTAATAACAAATTCTGAAAATAAAATAGTTGATAGACATATAAATTGAGAAATCCACTATTAGAAAAAGTTTAACATATTTCTCTAGGTAATTAATAGATCAAGCAGATAAAAATCATAAGAACAGATAAGACTTAACCAAATTAGCAAACTTGTGATGGCCAAACATAGAACACTGAATCTCCCAATGGGAGCTTACACAATCTTTATAAGTATAAAAACAGAACATTTGTGGAACTAAGTACCACAAAGGCCAAAAATGTCTATCAACTGTAGTATCAGTTAAGAAATGTAGTAAATCTATATATTGGGTTACATACTATGTAGATTAAAGGTGAACAGTCTATTAAATACATGAACCAACCTAGATTAAGCTGACATGATAAGATTGATGGGAAGAATAAAGTCAATGAAGAATATATATGTGTATCTGCAAATGAAGAATCTGCTGACTACACTGCTGATCACATCCTCTGTTTCCTTGCTGAAGATATAATATAATTCCATTTATGTGAATTTCTAAAACAAAGCAACAGACATTGTAGGAGTAGAAATATATGTATACATATGCAAATGCTAAAAACATGGCAAAAACAAATGCAGGGAGGGTAGAAGTAGATAAGATTAGGGAAGAGATACACAGAATTGTGTTAGCACTAGCATTGCTGTAGGTGTAAATAAAACAGTACCTAGAATATAACAGGAGTTCCATAAATATTAGTTTGTTTTCATCTCATATATCACACACTAATTAATAATCACAACAGTTTCTTTTATTTACTTACTTATTTTTATTCATTTATTCATATGTGCATACATTGTTTGGGCTATTTCTCCCTCTTGCCCCCTACCCCTCTCCCTCTGCCCCCATCCTCCCCTCACTTCCAGGCAAAACCTGTTCTGCTCTTTCCTCCAATTTTGTTGAAGAGAAGACATAAGCAATAATAGGAAAGACATAGCACTTCTGCTAGTTGAGATAAGGATAGCTATACAGAGAGTCCTAGCATTGCTTCCATGCACAAGTGTATTACAACCCAAACTGATTCATCTCTACCTGAGTTTTACACTAGTTCCTGATCACCTTCCCATATTGACTTCTGTAGCTTTAAGATTTCTGTATTAGCTCCTCTGCAGTGGGGACATCAAACACTTTCATGTTTTGGGTTTCCTACCTATCCCCATTCCTCCCGTGTGTGCTCTCCCCTTAGCGTGTGACCCAAGTCCAACAACATTGCTGTATTTGCCCTAGATCTAAAGCCCACATATGAGGAAGAACATAGGATTTTTGGTCTTCTGAATCTGACTAACCTTGCTCAGAATGATGATCTCCAGTTCTATCCATTTACTTGCAAATGATAAGATTTCATTCTTTTTCAAGGCTGAGTAAAATTCCATTGTGTGTAAGCACCACAGTTTTTAAATCCATTCGTCAGTAGTGGGGCATCTTGGCTGTTTCCATAATTTGGCTATTGTGAATAGTGCTGCAATAGACATGGGTATTCAGGTGCCTCTGGAGTAACCTGTGTCTCATTCCTTTGGGTATATCCCTAGGAGTGGGATTGCTGGATAATATGGCAGGTCTATGTTTAGATTTTTAAGAAGTCTCCAAATTTTTTCCAGAGTGGTTGTACTAGTTTACATTCCCACCAACAGTGTAAGAGGATTCCTTTTTTCCCCACATCCTTGCCAACACCTGTTGGTGGTGGTGTTGCTAATGATGGCTATTCTAACAGGGGTGAGGATGAATCTTAGTGTGGTTTTAATTTGCATTTCCTTTATTGCTAGAGATGGTGAGCATTTTTTCATGTGTTTTTTGGTCATTTGAATTTCATTCTTTATTGGTTCATTGGTTTTGGGAGAGTTTAGTTTTTTAAGATCCCTATATATTCTGGTTATTAATCCTTTGTCTGATGTATAACGGGCAAATATTTTCTTCAACTCTGTGGGTGGTGTCTTTGGTTTAGAGACCATTTCTTTTGTTGTGCAGAAGCTTTTTTTTAATTTTATGAAGTCCCATTTGTCCATCCTTTCTCTTAGTTGCTGAGCTGCTGGGATTCTATTGAAGAAGTCCTTGCCTATACCTATTACTTCTAGAGTGTTTCCTGCTCTTTCCTGTACCAACTTCACAGTTTGGGTCTGATATTTAGGTCATTGATCCATTTTGAGTTGATACTAATACAGGGTGATAAACATGGATCTAGTTTCAGTTTTTTGCAGACGGATAACCACTTTTCCCAACAACATTTGTTGAAGAGGCCGTCTATTCTCCATC